GCAGTGGTGTCCATGCCTCCAATGCTGACTGTGTAAAGGATTACACTGGTGCTGTTGCTTCTGCCTTATCCCATCATTTCTCAGAGGGCTTTTGGATCCCCAGTGTGGCTCCTGTGTGAATCTAGTTTTGTATTAAACATGATTGAAAACTGTCTGGGCTCACAGTGACTGACAACTGCCTTACTGTTACATTTTTTTGTAATAAAATTTTTAATGTAAAAAAAAAAAAAATGAACAGGCTTAAAATAAAAGCCACTGCCATTAGCAGTGAGAAATCCTCCACATCCAACTGTCCTCCTATGTGGCTGCTATAAATCTGATCACACAGAGTTTTATCACCAGAGTTTTATCACCATTTGTGGAAACCAAGCTCCTCTGTTTCCCTTCACCATCCCACTGGGCAGGTGCAGGAGCTGCTCCTACCCCAAATTCCTGTCCTACACTAAACTTTGTGTCTCCACTGGGAACACACAGCACTAAAGGGCTGCAAGAGGGCAGGGCAGATAAAGCTGGGCTGAAAGCAGGGTCACCTGCTGAGGGGTGGCAAATCTATTTTGTGATGCCAGAACGTCAAACAACCACTTACCCTGGAATGGTTCTAGGGAGGGGAAGAAAGCACCACAGACTCCAACAACACAATGAACTCACATGTGGGAGGGTCAGGCTGGCCTCTTCATGACCGAAACCTCTGGGGTCTGTACAGCACAGCCATCCCTGGGCTTCACCCTGCAGAGCAGTGGAGCTTGTGCTTCATTCCCATCATCAGGAACCTGCAAAAAGCACAGCAGGGGCTGCTGAGAGCCCTGGATCCTTTTCCTGTGGGATGGAGCTGTGTGCTGCCCATGGAGCTCTTGGCTTGCAGGTAGGGAGGGCACTGCCCCAGCACAGCTGATGTGAGCGCACACTTGCAATGAGCCTGAAGAGCAGCAGCACTGTTTGATTTTGGAAGGGTGATGGGGCTCCATGCCCAGCCACCCTGAGCTGCTGCCCTGCCCCTGCCAGGACAGGCCTGGAGGAAGGGAAGGCTCTGGATCAGCCCTGTCCCACCCCAGCCAGTGACTTCCCACCATCCCAGCTGGGGCCCTGGGGCTCTTGTGGCACAGCTGCAGCTGAAGGGTGACCATGGGGTCACCAGCATGGGAGGAGCCCAGCAAGGGCAAGGAGCCCAGCAGCTGCAGCTGAACAGGCAGGGTAAGGTCAGAGATTGGGAGAAAGGCCTGTCAGTGTCACAGGGCAGGACAAGATGAAGAGAAGGGAAAGGGATCATAGAATCCCAGAATGGTTTGGGTTCAAAGGTACATAAAACTCATCTGATTCCACTCCCTGCCACTGGGAGGGATGCCTTCCACTATCCCAGGCCTTGTCTAACCTAGCCTTGGACAGTTCCAGGGACAAGGGGCACAGTTTTTCTGGGCAGCCTCCTCAGGGCCTCACCACCCTCACAATGCAGAATTTTTTCCCAATGTCCCCATCTATCTCTGCCCTCTGGCAGTTTGATGCCCTTCTCCCTTGTCCTGTCATTCCAGCCCCTCTCCAGCTCTCCTGGAGCCCCTTTAGGCACTGGAAGGGGCTCTGAGGTCTCCACGGTTTTCTCTTTTCCAGGCTGAACAATCCCATCTCTCCCAGCAGAGCTGCTCCATCCCTCTGCCCGTGCTGGTGCCTCCCCTGGGCTCTCTGCAGCAGCTCCAGGTCCCTCCTGTGCTGGGGCAGCTCTGCAGGTGGGGTCTCACCTGAGCCCAGGGGCAGAGCCCTCCCTGCAGCTGGGGGAAGGCAGCACCAGGGACCTGCCCAGCGCCTCCCGGCGAGGCTGGACCTGCCCACACACCCGAGCTCGGCCCCGTTCGGGAGGGGGTCTCGAACCAGGCCCCCACCCTCTCCGGGCTGCCGGACTCTGACCCGGCTCCGGGCACTCGGGGATTTCACCATCGGCCCGCAGCTCTCCTCCCGTCATCAGTGACTCATCTGGGCTTTGGAGCGGCCACGATCAGCCACTGACCTGAGCCACACCAGCTGCTCTTTCCCCTGCTAAACACCCACCAGCATCTCCCGGTGGAAAAGGAGCTCGGTCCCTCTATCCCGTGTGCCCCCAGCAGAGTGGCACGGGCAGGAGCCTGGCACAGCCAGACGTGCAGGGAAGGAGGAATGCAGCACAGGAGCTGCAGCACAGGAGCTGCAGCTCGGCTCCTAATGCGGAGCCAAGAGGGCTTTTCCAGCTGCACCTGGGATGGGGCTCACTGCCACAGGGACACGGGGACAGGGCGGGTGCAGTCCCCTCTCCCTCGCAGTGTCCCGGGAGCGCTGCCGGGAGCCCGCAGGGTCCCTCCCGGGAGCGCTGACTCACCGCGGCCCGGCCGCGCTATATTTGAGCATTACGGAGGCAGGAATGAACGCACGCAGGCAGGAGCTGCCTGTCCCGAGGTCAGCACCAGGCTCAGGAAGCAGCTGTCAGAGTTCACCACCGTGGCCAAAAGCATCTGCGCCCCGTAAATCTTCAGAGAGAGAAAAGCTGGCGCAGGGAAGGGGTTTTTGTGACTGCAGTGGGTCCAAGGCAGGGCAGAGAACCGGCGGGGTCCCACTGTGCTCATCCACAGCTCCTCGCTGCTGCAGCTGCCGAGCCACGCCCCGAGGGAACACTGGAGGTCACTTTTGCCCAATCCTACATTTTTCCTGCTCTTCAGATCTTGCAGTCGGGGTGCAACCGAGATATTTGCAGCTGGACTGAAAAGCTCTCAGGAGATTGGCTCGGGGAGGGAAGGAAGGAAGCAGAAGGAAGGAGAGTGGCTCATCCCCGGGGCAGGGCAAAGGGGCTGCCACGTTTTGGAAAAGCAGTTAAAGTGCTTTTTACTCATCAACCTTTGCTTCAGGACCAATGACTAACAGGAAAGTTTCTGACTCTTTACTCAGGCTCTGCCCTCTGCCAGCTGTTCCCTCCCCGCCCTGCTCAGCTTTCCCAATTCCAATTAATTTTGCAAGCAGCCTGGGCGCTCCAGAGCCACCAGCTCCAGGCAGCATGCCCTGCTCATGCCACATTCCCTGTGCTTTGCCTCCTCTGCAGTTCTGCCAGCATTTTTCCCTCTTTCTTCGCCTTCAGCAGCACATGGATCAGTCAGCAGGGACCAAGGGATGACAAAGAAAGCTGTGTTCTGGAACTGCCTCCAGAACAACCCTAAAAAGCTCTGCATAAAAGCAGGACACCAGGCACAGACTCTTACACATTTCCAAGCTAGTCCCCAACAGCTGGTTTGCTCTTTTTTACATTAATTTCTGCCAGGCTGTGGGCAAAGGCTGGGAGCAGTGGGACTGTGAACTGGAGTGTCAGGCAGGGCAGGGACTGAACCAGCACAGACACCAAAGGCTCCACTCACTGCAGGACACAGCCTGGGACTCTTGGATCCAGTGTGCCCTGCCCTGGGGCTGTGACAACAAATTCCAGGGGCCATTTCCACCCACGACTGACAGAGCAGTCCCCAGCATGGTCTGAACAGCAGGAGCAGCCCAAGCCCTCCAGTGCCCCTGCAGGGAAGGCCTCACTTCCCCAGCACCCCCTCTGCCACGTGCCAGGGGTGACACAGATGTCACAAAAGGCTTACTCAAGGCAGGGATTTGCTGATTCCCAGCTGCCCTTTCCCAGTGTTCTCTGCATCTGGGTTTACCTCCCCAAAGGCAAAGCTGGTCTGAGGTTCCCCTGGGAGCTCTGCACTCCTAAATGCCCCTCACCCAAAATCAGCCCTGGCAGCCTTGGGGCTCAGAACAGGTGGGACAAGCAGGCAGCAGCTGCCTCTGGCTCCACACCATTGCACAGCAGAGGCACTAACCAGCTTGTGAGCTCCCTTCCCCACTTCTCTGACTTACCTGTCTGAGAAACCAAGTCTCGGCTGTGGCTCCTCCTCCTTATCCTGTGTCTGGAGCTCATCACCCAGGGCCATGTGCAGAGACACAGGCAGTGCCATGGAGCTCTGGCCCTTCAGAATCAGCAATGCAGCAAGGCTAAACCTCCTGCAAAACAATAAAATGCCAGAATTTGCGTTTGTGTTTGAAATGCCTGCCCAGCTCCTTCTGAGAGGCAGTCCTGTGCTGGGGCACATCTGAATAGCTTTCTAAGAGCAGCCAGAACCTTCCCATACCATTTCCCTTCTCTATTCTTTGTGAGTGGTTTGCTTTGTCTTTTGCTGGTTTTGTTAATTTGGTTGCTTTTTTTTTTTAATGAGCAGCTTTGAACCCTCCACCAGCTGAGCAGGCCCCTGGGTCCTGGCAGGGCCGCCCCACCCCAGAGCCAGGAGCTGCAGCTGCCCCACAGCCCATTCCCTGGCTCAGGTCTCAGTGCCACCCTTTCCTCCTGGTCACAACCTTTACTGGTTTAATTTACCTTACACAGGAGCTGTAACAACCAGCCCTATAACATCAAAGGCAGTACTCACCTGCCACACTGATCCTGGAACTGAGGTGATGCCAAGGAATGCCCTGAGTGTAGTGTTTGTCCCAAACTTCTCCAAGCTGCCGGATCAACCCCTCGGAGGCTCCGTGGGCCCTTGGGATTTGCTGGGAGCAACACACCCAGCGGCCAGGCTGGGTGAAGCTCTCATCCCTCCGCTCTGTGTGCCCAGGAGGCTCGGGGAAAAGGCAAGGGCTGCTCCTCAGCCTGCCTGAGCAGCAGAGATCTCGGACAGAGAGATATCCCCATGTCCCAGCAGGCCGGGGAGGGAGTGCAGCGCCCTGGGGGGACAGACCCCGCTCAGGGCTGAGGGAGGGTCCCCCCGGGGAGCTGCAGCCATGGATAATGTGCGTGTCCCGGCGGGATTGTGCAAACCCCCAGCTCAGGGAGCCGAACGCGCTCCGTATCTCGGCGCTGCACTTTGCACCCCGGCTGCCGTGACCTCGGGCCGGCTCCCCGGGCAGGATTAAAGTCCAGCAGAGCGGTGCCGCTGCCTCCTGCCCGGAGCCGCTCATCCCGCCGCCGCTGCCCCTCTGCCCGCCCGGGGCTGGGGCTCACCGGCCCCGACATGCGGCTGCTGCTGGGGGCAGCGCTCCTGTGCCTCGGCCTGCGCCCGGGCCACGGCTCCGAGGAGGCAGCGCCCGACAGCCCCGGGCACCGGGACCCGCAGGCGGCGGCATCCTATTCCGACTGGGGCATCGACGCCATCCGCGATGGCTTCGAAGCGGTCAACAGCTACTTCGACTCCTTCCTGGAACTGCTCGGGGGGAAAAACGGAGTCTGTCAGTACCGCTGCCGATACGGTGAGCGAACCGCACCGCTGCTGCCTCCTCTCTCCTCGCCCTTTCTCCTCTTTCCCTCTCCTTCCCTGCGGCCACGAGCGGCTCCTCCTACCCAGGAGCTGCCCCCGGCAGTGCTCGGGTCACAGCTTCTGTGCCAGGGCCAGCACAGGGACAGCGAACCCCCTTCCCCGAGAGCAGCCAGCTCTGCAAGGCACCGCCATGGGCGCGCAGGACACCGGGGAGGATGCAGAGGGCACACAGGTACCCGGGCACAAACACGGGTACCAGGGCACACAGGGCGCACACAGGTACCCGGGCACACACACAGGTACCCGGACACACACACAGGTACCCGGGCACACACACAGGTACCCGGGCACACAGATACCCGGGCACACACACAGGTACCAGGGCACACACACAGGTACCCGGGCACACACACAGGTACCAGGCACACACACAGATACCCGGGCACACACACAGGTACCCGGGCACACACACAGGTACCTGGGCACACACAGGTACCCGGGCACACACACAGGTACCCGGGCACACACACAGGTACCAGGGCACACACAGTACCCGGGCTGTCCCGCTGCCCGGAGCCTGGCACAGCCAGGCAGGGGAGGCTGAGCCAGCCGCCCTAATCTCAGCAACCTTCGGAGCGTCCTTATCCCGCAGCTGTGAGCTGGCCAGTGCCGCGGACTGCAGGAGATAACAGCGGGACAAAGCACACGTCACCGTCACCGGGAGCAGCCTTTAGTGCCCGAGGCAGGAGGAGGCAGATCCTGCTTGCTTTGGACTGCACTTTTTGGTGGTTTACCAGAAAGGATTAGTTTGGTTTGCTCTGGGGGCAGGATGACGGCCCCCAGGGGGAGGGCAGGGCAGGGGACAGAGCTGGGGTGCACAGAGCTGCAGTCTGTGGGGTGACAGGGCCATCACCAGGGCACCTGTGGGAAGGACATGCTTAGGAACCAGCCAGGAGTTTTCCCACAGACGGCATCCTTTCCTCAGCCTCCTACACCTGTCCCACAGCAGCCCCTTGTCCTGTCACCTCAGCCTGCCCAGCCCCAGCTGCCTGTCAGCCCCTTGCCCCACAGCCCAGTGACCACCTGGGAAAGATCAGCACAGAGGGATTTCAGCCCTTCTCCTCCCCAGGGCACTGTTTTTCACAGACAGACTCAATGCTCTGGGGAGACCCCACTGACTCTGCCTCAGTCTGTGTGGATCCCACGGACCTCCTGCTCCTCCCAGGCCAGCAGCCAGGGCACTGGGACAAAGATGCTGCAGGGCTGGGACCTCAGCTCCCTGCCAGGGGAGGAGGTTAAATCAGTCTGAAAGTTGCTGGGTTTTGTTTTGTTTCATAAACAATGACACAGAACCATAGAACAGGCTGAGGTGGAAGGGACTCACCAGGATCATTGAGTCCAACTCCTGGCCCTGTGCAGGACACCCCAGGAGTCACACCCTGTGCCTGAAAATGTTGTCCAAACACTCCTGGAGCTCTGGTAGCCATGGGACCACTTCTCTGATGAGCCTGGAAGTGCTTCCAGTGCTCAACCACTCTCTCTCTGGGTGAAAAACCTCTCCCCAACATCCATCCAATGGGTATATATGTGTCCTGCCCCTCTTGCCAGCTCTGCTCCCAGGCCCCACACTGGGAACAAACAGGGAGCAGCAAGCCAGGTGCCCCAGCCCCACGGGATGGAGGGAGCCAGGTGCCCCAGCCCCACGGGATGGAGGGAGCCAGGTGCCCCAGCCCCACGGGATGGAGGGAGCCAGGTGCCCCAGCCCCACGGGATGGAGGGAGCCAGGTGCCCCAGCCCCAGGGGATGGAGGGAGCCAGGTGCCCCAGCCCCACGGGATGGAGGGAGCCAGGTGCCCCAGCCCATCACCACAGCCCCACAGGGGCCCTGCTCCCTCAGCCTGGGGGTCCCTCAGTTCTCTCTGCAGCAGCTCAGGAGGGCCGTGTGTGTCCCCAGTGCCTGGAGGAGGTGATCCCCAGCCCCCCAGCAGCCAGGATGAGCCCCCCAGGCAGCCTGTCCCACACTCATGTGTGTGACAGCCTCCTGAAGGTCCCCACCGTGCTCCAAACTCAGAGCAGAAAGGTCCTTGCCCTCCTTGGTGTAGAGACTGAAACCCCAGGCAGTGGCTGGGGCTGCAGTGTGCCTGAGGCAATGCTGATATTCAGAGCTGCTTTCAGGGAGCCTCAGGACTCAGCACATCCTGCAGGAGTTACTGCTTTGGGACACATCCAGAGGGCTCTCCCTGCCTGTCCTTGTGCAAAGCATCCCCAGAGAGCAGCACAGATCCCTGCTCACACCCCAGGAGCTCCCTGCATCTTACAGGAACAGTTTACCTGAAAGGAGAACTAAAACATTGCTAGCCCAGTTCTCACCCTCTGCTGAAGAGCCCATTAATCACTGCCTGAAGGAGAACACTGCTGAAATGCTGCCCGGTGGCTCCAAGGGGCTTGCTGGACCCTTCCAGGACCATTTGTCCTTGCTCATCTCTGGCACAGACATTGCAAACTGGAGAGGAGAGGATGCTGGGATGCCCCCAAGCCAGTGAGATCCAGTCCTTGCTCAGAGGGACGAACACAAACCATCTTTGTGCTGAACCAGGGCCTGATTGCTTTTTCTCCCCTGCCATGAAACAAAAATTATTCCTTCTACTTACTTTCATTTCAGCCAAGAGATACCAAAAATAGCTCATTTTGCCACAGTAAAGGTCAGGACTCACCTGTGATTGCCACATCCATCTCCAGCTGAGCACGTGGCTGTTCCAGCTGTAAGACTCCCCTGATTTTTCAGCAGCTACTGAGGTCTGAAAACAACCAACTTGATGGATGGCTCCCTTAAATCAGGACATTAGGGTTACACTAGCATTTACTGGCAAATCTCCTCCTGCTTACAAAGCCTCACAGGGCATCTCAGGGAAAACAAAGAGCCTGAGCTGGGAGTGAAGCTTGTATCTTCCTCCTGGCCAGGCAAGACTTCAGTGCCCTGCTCAGCACCTGGTCCTGAAGGGCTTCAGAGGAGGGGGCATCTCCAGGCTGTGGGAAAAGAGCCCCCAAAGCCAGGCCCTGTCCAACAGGGATGGATGTGTGCAGGCACCTCTGTCCAACAGGGATGGATGTGTGCAGGCACCTCTGCCCAAAGCCTGCCTGCCTGCTTGGGGCACACAAACAACAATGGACCACCCAACAGTGCAAGGAGCCCTGAGACCATCCATTCACCCAAAAATACGCTCAGCTCCCCCAGCCAGTGTCCCAGCACTGCAGTGCCTGAACCGCCTGCATTGCCAGCAGCTGCTCCAGCCAGCTGGCTGCTTTCCAGCCTCTTGGAACAGCAACAGCAGCCTGGGGGCATTAAAATGCATCAGGGAAACTCAGCTTCAGTTCTGGGGCTGTGCCAACAAAGCAGTGGCCTGAAATCTGTCTTCTTGTCTGTAAGGATGGGCAAGTAATAAATGATAACAGGAGCACTGAGTCAGTGCTTGTAGAGAGGCAGGAATGCCTGATATTCCTGTTCTGCTTTTGCTTTCCTGTTACCTACTAAGCAAGACGTGGGAGAGAGGTTAATTGTGGTGCCTTGGACTTGACCTAGCTGAGAAAAAGTACAAAGGGGCACTTTATAAGTTTTAAAGCTCTGTTTTGCAGAGGGGAGCGGACAGGTTTCCTACAACGGCTTATCCTGAAGGCAGTTTGATGTTTTGTGGATCAGCACAATGCTTATTTATGTGAGGGTTTTTTTCCTCAGGACAGCTTTCTAGAAGCTATTATAATGTTTCTATTACAATAGCTGTGACTTCAGCTGAATTGAAGCTCTGGAAACACAGCTATTTTTGGCTGGGAACTGGATAATGCAGGTAGAACTGGATAACTGGATGATCTTAAAGGTCCCATCCAAGCCAAGCCATTCTTTGATCTCCACATCCCAAAAAGTCTCACTCCTACTCAGACTTGCCATCTTATCCCATTCACTGTCAGTGTGCTGCAGGAACAGCACACTGTTCCTGTTTTTTTACAACCAATTATTTCTTATATTATTTTTACATTATTTTACATTTTTTACATTATTTTTACAACCAATATTACAAGCAAGCCACTCAAATTCGACTCCATCCTGCAAAACCCACAGCGGATTTTGAACTTTGCTCTGCCTCCTGCATCAGTTCAGGAACATTTGAATTCTGAGTCCCAGTTCTCACCCCCTTCCAAAAAACCATCAAGGCTCTTCTGGAAGGGGAAAATTGCCTGTTGGCATCTCCCAGCTAGACAGCATTTCAGTTTGTTATTTATTTGTAGCAAATCTGTTATTTAAGCAAAACAGCTCTGGCAAAGTTTAATTAAGAGGTGCTGGGAACACTCCCACATGAGTTCCCCTGAGGCTTTTGGCTGCAAGGCCTTCCCAAGGGCACAGCAGATTTATTTAATTCACCCACGGATTTATGGCTGAATTAACCACTGGCATTTCAGGTACCTGAACAGAAAAATGGGGAAAGTGTCTTAAATAATTCCTGGTGCTGACAAGAAGCAAGAAGTGGAAATGGAGTTTAAAAGAACCCAACCCTGCCTTGAAGGGCTGAATTAGATCCATTTTATGTCTGTATAAATTCTCTAGCCCTGCTCAGGGAAGCAGAAACTTAACCCTTGATGTGACTGGCTTCAAGGCCCAGCTCACACGAGTTTTTGTTGGAGCATTCCCACAGTTTGTGTTTTCCCAGAGCAGGGACAGCACCAGGGAATGGCTGGAGCTCTGTCAGGCCAGGGCTAGGTTGGATATCAGGAAAGGGTTTTTCCTCCAGAGGGTGGTTGGGCACTGAACAGGCTGCCCTACAAAAATGAGATTAAATGCTGCTGGAAGGTACTGCTAGAGCTGGCTGTGAGCTGGACTCCTCCTGCATTGGGTAAATAATTATCCACAGAGGGAGTTCTTGCTCCTTTGTGCATATTAAGAAGCAGAGTGAGGAAGGTGCAGAGATTAAAGGAACAGAAATGATTTGCAAAACATGGCAGTGCATCACCATGGGCAGAGAATGGACCCAGACCTGCTCAGAGCAAGATCAGACATGCAAGGTCTGGCACAGTTTGGGGACATCCACAGCACGCCAACAGTCCAGGAATGAACTGAGAACAGAAGGAAACCCTCTTGCTGAGCCAGCAGTGTAAGCAGCAGTGTTTGGGGATGCAGACCAAAGGGCAGTGCCTATCACTCCTTGCTTTTTGCACCAGTCTTGGGAAGATCAGCTTTCCTAACCCTTGTCCTGTCTTTTCTTTCCCAGGGAAGGCTCCCATGCCACGGCCTCACTACAAACCCCAGGAACCCAACGGCTGTAGCTCCCATTTTCTGGGGCTCAAGGTACCTGAAAGTGTTTGTGCTGTCGCACCCAGCAAGCCCACAGGCTGCAGCTCTCCAGTGCATCAGCAGCTCATCGTTCTGGGCAAGGAGAAGGCTGGGCTGGGCTGGGCAGCTGGGTGACAATGACCTATGGTGCACACAGCAACACCTGAGTGCATCCTCCACACCTGCCCCCCCACCTCTTCCCACACTTTCTGCCTCTGCCAAGCACTGAACGAAACCCAGAGGCTTTAATAGTGCACCTGCTCGTTATCTTAAAGGCAATTAATGAACATATTGGAATCACAAGGAAAAGCCTTCCCAGGAGGCTCTCAGAGCAAGGATTCCTATTTAGCTCATGCATTATTGCTGCCCATGGAGTCTGCAGCAATTAGGCAGATTCCTGCTCTGACAACCCCTCTCTTTGCAGCCCATTTTTCATGTTAGGTTTAATTCCTGAAACTATTTCACTGCAAGCCTTGTGGGCATTTCTGTGGTGCCATCTCTGTACCCAGGCAATCACGAGTGCAATGAAGGAACAATTCATCTCCTAAATTTTACATGAGGAAGGGCAAAAAGGGGAATAATTCATAACAAGCTAACAAGTCCAGTCTCTCCAGGAGACAGGTCTTCTGCCCCATCACCCCCAGGGTCATTAGCTAAGCTTACAGGGAGCAGAACTCCCCTGACCATACTGTGTTTGTCCTTGGCCTCAAGTGCAACTCTGAGAAATAAGGCATTAAAATATTTATGGCACGTTTATTAGGCAAAAAAGCAGGACCTTGTCAGGTTGTGGGAAAAAGAGGAAAAGAGAAAAGAGGCCTTTACCACTGTTGGCAAGGACATGGAGTTCTCTGACGAATGCAAACTAGAAAATGGTCATGGAGGGGCTGTTTCCCACCTCCCTGGGATACAGAGATGAGAAGAGAATGTGATGTAGCCTGCACTGGCCTGCACCACTGACACCACTGGGCTGCTCCCTCACCCTCCCTTCTTTAGGTGGTGAGGGAGCAGCACACATCCCTCCTGCTGCCCTGGCTCTCAGGAACTGCTTCTGGAACAGGAGCCAGCTGGGCCCTGCAGCACCTCACCCTCACAGCTGTGTGAGCCTGAGGCCAGGAGCCAACCAAGGGACACCCTTTTCTCTTTCCCAGCTAGACTTGGGCATCCCTGCCATGACCAAGTGCTGTAACCAGCTGGATGTTTGCTATGACACCTGTGGGGCCAACAAGTACCGCTGCGACGCCAAGTTCCGCTGGTGCCTGCACTCCATCTGCTCCGACCTCAAACGCAGCCTGGGCTTCGTCTCCAAGGTGCAAGGTAGGGTCCTGCCCCTCATCCCTTGGCCAGGGAGCCTTTCCTTGCCAGAACTCTGCAGTGGGGAGCAGCATCTCTGTGCTGCACTTGTCACAGGTGGGCGAGAACACAGAGATCTGCCCCCTCTGCCACACACCTCTGTCCCAAGGCTGGAGATCTATGGTTATTTGCATGCAGAAAACATTACAATGTGTGAAAAACCCACAAACAACCCTGGAAGTAAGTGGGTGCACTCCCAAACAATTCAACCATGGGCAGGAATCCTGTCAGGGGAGGGAATGCTGTGAGAGAGAGTAGGGTTAGGAGTAGTATTGTGTTCAGTGATGGGATTTTGGTCCATGCAGTTATTAGGGTCGATGGCTTTAGGACTTTGATTGTGTTTAGGGTGAGGAAAATGGTTGCAGTTATTATAGTGTATAGGTAGAGGCTGAGGAGGGTGAGTTTAGGGTTGTAGATGGTAATGATTGCTATTCAGCCTAGGTGGGAGATGGAAGAACAGGCTAGGATATTTTGGATTTGTGTTTGGTTGAGTCCTATTCATCCTCCCAGGGCTGCTGAGAGGATAGATCGGATAGTGACGAGTTTGGGGTTTCCACTTCCACTAATTTATCCAATTAGTTGGATGCACTCCCAAACAATTCAAACACCTTCATGGGATACCAAATGCCTTCCAGGGCCAGTGAGGCACACACTGAAACCTGCACGTGGCCAAGGGCCAGCAAAACAGAGAGAGCCAAGGAAAGGGCTCTCAGGGATCTGGTCACAGGTAAGAGATGGTGGTGGCACCAGGGACACACCAGGCTGGGGGTGGCTGAGCCACTGCAGGCAGCTCTGGGTGGCTCAGGAGTGCTAACAAGCTCTAGGGATGTGCCAGCAGCTCAAGTGCCACCCTGGCTTTCCCTAATTTAAAAAGCCTCAGCCTGCAGGTCTGAGAAGAGTTTTTTTGGTAACCTCTGCTGATGCCCTGCTCTAGGGTACCCTTAAATATGCATTTGTTGTCCAAAGGTGCAGCCTGCATAGGACACATGGGAAGCCCGCATGACACCAGTAGATGTCTGCAGATGGCTTCCTACCCGGTCACAGAAAAATGCATGGAAAGAGTGCCCAGGCCAGCAAGAGAAATCAAAGACATGGACTGAGACAAAAGTGCTACAGGCTGAGCACAGCCAATCTTTCATGGTTACCCTTATCAACAGTTCCTCATGCAAGCCAGCTTCTTCCCATCTCTTCAGATTTTCCACTTTTTCATATGGTGCTTCTTGCTCTCTGCTTGCAGCAGCAAAGCAAGCCTAGATCCTGGGGAGTGAAGGTGGAGCAGAGCCCACACTCTGGGCTGAGCCAGGCAGGAGTAGATTCCTCCATCTCTCTGTGCTGGCTGCTGTAGGAGGCACAGGCAACACCAGTGAACCTCTGAGCCACCCTCCCCGCACCTTGGGCTCTGCAGATGCTGTCCCCAGGGCTGCTCTGAGCAGCTCCTGCCACAGCCCTCCTCCTCCTCCACAGCCATCCCAGCTCTTATCTGGCCTCCAAAGCCTTGCTTTTCCCACTGACTCGCCACAGCCTCTCCAGTGCCTGCCAGCTGAGCAGCCTCCTAGGGAACAGGAGCTCTGAGGGGTTTGGAGAGGCTGAGATAAGAGAAAACAGTCCCAAAGGCCAGGCTTTCCCAACTCCATCATGCATGCAGCTATCAGTGGTGGTGCCAGCAAATAAACCCTAAAGATTTACTATTAACCTATCTATTTACTGACAAGCCCTTTCGGGGTTGTTTTTTGGGATGAGTGGGGCTAGTCAGGCAGTCAGCTGCTCCAGCTGCTGTTGGATTTTTCATGCTGGCTGGCAGCTGGCATCATAACTCCCAAAAAAGCCCAGAAAGGTTGGTTAATAGTGGCTGTAGGCAAAACTCAGAGGAGAAGGAGTAATGTGGAGGTCTCCTGGGAAATCTGTTTGGTAAACAGTGCTGTTTGCAGAGCCCCAGATGATCCATCAACTAGCAGGGCCTGAAAGAGGTAATAAAGGAGGGGTTTAGGGGGGAGAGAAATGAGTGCCACCCTGGGGAGAAGATGTGGCCATGGCTCCCTTCACAGAGAGCAGCAGGCACAGTTTTTCCCAAGGATTTTTCCTGGGGAAGGCAGTGAGGAGCACAGAGAGAAGAAGAGAAAAAAAATTCTTATCTCTATTTACTGTTCTTGTTGTTTTGCACATGTGGAATGTGGAGATTGTTTACCTAAAGTGAATTGTTAATTAGACACTGGTGAAGGTTGTTTTGATCCTTTGACCAATTGGATCTACGTGTGTTGTGACTGTCTTTAGTTTTTCTTTAGTATCTTTGTAGTATAGTATTTCTTCAGTATAGTTTTAGTATAGTATTAGTGTAATATAGTATAGCTTAATAAAGCAATTGTTCAGCTTTCTAAATCATGGAGTTAGAACACATTATTCCCTACATTGGAGTCACCCTGCCTTGATAAGAAGAGAGAAGGGAACCTCAGGATTTATAAAAATGCAGTTCTCAGAGAGAAAAGACAACAGCCCACACTTCCAAGGGCAAACCCCACAGAGCTCAGTGCAGGGCTGGGGCGCTGGGAGTTGCCTGTCCTTACCTGGCCACCCTGTCCCTCTCCACAGCCTGTGAATCCATGGCAGACACGGTGTTCAACGCAGTCTGGACCCTGGGCTGCCGGCCCTTCATGAACAGCCAGAGGAGCGCCTGCATTTGCAGCGAGGAGGAGCGCGATGAGCTGTGAGCAACAGCAGCCTGCCAGTGTCTGTGAGCCCCTCTGCAGCACAGAGACTCCTGTCAGCCCTCGGGAGGGGCACCCAAGCCAAGGCATCCACAGCAGCCTCGGGGCAGGGCAGAGCCAGCCCATGGACAGAGGGCAGCCCCCCCATTGCTCCTTCCCAAGCCCACAGGATCCCATGCTAGTTCTCTCCAAGGCAAGCAGGATGCAGTGCTGCTTATAAACACAGGACTTACCTTGAATACCTGCTATCACCTCCCCCTACCCTGTAACTCTCCAATTCGCAGCGCAAGGCAGTAGGTTTCTGCAAGCCCTGTGAAACTCCCAGTGCATGGATATGCAATGCACATTTTTGCACCCCTGGTGGCAGACTGAAGAGGGGTAATTTGCTTACAGTGCATTCCTCACACCCATCCCTGACACTTTCCATCCTGTCATTACACGCCCTGACAACCCTGAATATTTAAATACTTGGTGGACCCTAAACTGATTTAGGACATCTGGAGATCTCCTAAGCATGAGTTAAGGAGAAGGGCTTGAGGTGTTTGTGGTACCAATTGATATTCAGGACCAAAGCTCAGCATTTATCAGATGAGAAATCACAGCCCTCTCCCCCAGTCTCAGGAGAGGAAGCCACTTTTCTTCTGCCAGTGTCATCCACATATATTTAATTACTTTTCTCCTGTAGCATTTAACAAAGCTTTGCCCTCAGGATCCCTTTTCACACAAAATGGCTGGGAATCCAACTCCATCTCTAGCACAAGCAAAACAGGAGGCTCACAGTGGACTTGGATGAGATATTCCAAATTCTGGAGCCTTATCTGTCAGGTGACAGGACTTATGTGCTACCTCTGTGGGGCTGCTATCAGCAGCCTCAGACATCATTCCTTCTAAAACGTGGTTAATGCCCCCATCTGTTAGGGGGAGCTTTTGTTGCATGCAAAACCAGAATTTAAAGTGGTGCATGGCAGTTTGCCTCCACAGAACATTGGCAGGCAGCTTTCAGCTGGGTTTCTTGTTGAAAGGAAGCTGCTGCTAGGTGTGTGCGTGCCATGCCACGTAAATATTTCAGTGGCTCCTGCAAACATATTTATGGTTATGTTCTTCCATCTGCCACAGAGAAGTTAAGGCTGCAAAAGGGTGATTTAACAAGAGTGGAAAGAGTCTGTCTTGGTTGCTTTTCTTCCAGTTTAAATGGGTTTAAAATGTATGCATGGAGGTATAAATTATTTAAGCCCTGTTCCTGTTCCTGCCAGTCATCTTTGCCTTACAGTGAACATCAAGGAGACGTTCAGCTGGCCCCAAATGGGCTGGAACAGCAAGAGCCCCCTGGTACCCAGACCAGGAAAATGGACGTGACTGCATGGGGTGTACTGGGATGTTCTCCATCACAGAGGACTTCAACACTGCTCAGATGTAATGGCAGCCTTTCCTAGCTGGGCTAATGCCACGGAGGAGAGAATTCTGCATTGCTGAGGTTCACTGCTCTGTCAGAGCATGAGGCTGGACAGACAACCTTGATTATCCAGCTAAGAAACACCTACTTTTGGCTAGGGATGGGAAGGAAACATTCCTCATTCCAGGCACTGCCCAAACTTTGTATTTTGCTGGTGAAATAGTGCCTGTGGCCAGTTTAAATGTGAACCTACTCCTATGATTAAATGACAAAAAAGAAGTTAAAATATCTATATTGTCTACGTTCAATAGCTGACTGCATGGCAAATATCTTAAATTACCTTATAGTTCAAGTGATATCAGGTTAAAGCCAAGCAACTGCTGGCAGGTGATGCCATAACACTGGAGAAATCAAAGGGCTCTGAACAAAATCTCTGTACCCAGACTGATGTGCTGGAGATGTTGCTAACATAAATCATCATTTCTCCCTGCTTTCAGACCACCATTGATCCCAAAACCCTAGAGACTGCTGCAAGCAGGCCAGCCAGTGAATCAGTTCATTTTTCACTGTGCTAATCTGAAAAACCCCACCAGCAGCTCTATGAGGAAGTATTTGAACTTTCAAGTGGTGGCAGTGACTCTGGCAAAGCAGCAGATAATCCTGTGCAGGAGCAAACCAGAGCATGAACCCAGGAAAACTGCAACCAAACCAAAAACTGCTTCCCCTCCGAGCCACTCCTGCTATCCAGTGATGTACAGCCATGGAAGCAGCTGATCACAGCATTCTCCAGGTTACTGCATGAACCTTGGGTCATCTTCAATTCCACCCTGCTCTGGACACAAAGACTCTGCTTTGCCCATCCTGTGGCTGCCTCTTGACTTTGTGCATTGGTAGGATTGGCTTCAGCTGCAGAGTGGAAAAGCTGCTTCATATGAATTCATCAGGAAGAACCAAATAATGTGCACAATAACTGAAATAAGCCAAGAAAGGAACTTCTCCCTCCATCACTCTCCCTACATCTCTTCTATATAAACAAACAAGATCAGTTCATTCTCCAGAAGGCACCAGATAATTAATTTCATTTCCCAGCTCTTGTTTTATCAAAACAAATATATTTAGCAGAGGCTGCCTGAACAAAGGAGTGACAGTGGGAAACTGCCCCTGTGGTCCTAGTGCAGATGTGAATCAGCAGAACAGCAATCCTAGGAGAAGCCTTCTTCCTTTCTTTTTCTTTCACATATGGTTGGATAACACACAGAGTATCTTTCCATTTATACCTACTTATCATCATAGAGATATTTTTGTTTACTCTAACACACTCACATGTATTTCCAAGATTGGAAAAGCAGCCATGAAGCTATTTTAAAAAATTATTAAACTCTTAGCCATTAAAAGTTCATTCCTCACTGGAATCTCACTTGCCAGAACAAATAAATCTGTGAAATAGGTTGAAATGTTTGAGGTGATTTGTGACTCCTTTCTAAATGGTCCCTTCAAATGGATTCCCCTTCCATTTGAGAGCAGCAGCAAATTTTGGCTTTTGCAGCAATTTGGCTGCTCCAAGCAAAGCAGAACACAGCTGATGAAGGCTGTGGGGCTCCCAGCAGACCTCCAAGCATGCAGGACAGAGCTGCACACTGAGGAGCTTCTTGTAGGAACCCTTGGGGATGCACTGCAGAGCCACTGCCACCGGTGCAGACAGATCCTTCCCCTCATCCCCCAGCCCTGCCTGCCCCACAGTGTCCTTCACTGCTGGCTGTGCTTCCTCCCTTCCACCCCACACCCATACCCTTTACCACAGAGCGCAGGGAAGCCCAGGGGAGCCTGAGCTGGTCACATCCATTGTATTTGCATCAGAAGGAGCCTGACAGCCCAAAAAGATTCCTGGCAACCACAATGCCACCACCATCACCAGTCATTGTGTCCCCTGCCACGGCCACTCAGACAATGCTGCTGTGTCTCCTGTCACCAGGCTGACTGGGGACAGCCTTGTCCTGAGAAGTGCCCACAGCACCAATGATTGCTATGAAAAATTAATGTGCATTCCTCTAATCCTCTGTTGGAACCATGGCCTCACTAACCAGGGCAATGCATCACAATTCCAGACAAACACTTGGCAGCAGCACACGTGGGAGGGGGGTGTTTATAGATGTTTAATGGTGGTTCTCTTACAATCAAGGTGCTACAGCACTTAGGAAAGGCATTTTTGGTGGTGGGAGAAGAGGGAGAAGAATGATGATACACTAAATACAGGAGGAAACACTATTAAACTTCATGCAATTATTAAAAGCCACTAAAAAAATCAAATCTCATTAAATACCTTTTGCTATTTAAAATCCCATTTAAATGTGCCTGTGATAGATCTGAGCTTTAGCTGCCTGTAATGACAATTGCATTGCTCCAAGAAACTTACACATGATGAGATATATTTTATACAGGTTTCTATTAACAGTCACCTGAAATCTTCAGCATCACTCACAGAGCTGCACAGCAAACACACTCAGCTATGATACTATTTGTACTGTCTGATGCAAGAAGGGCTTGGATAACATTTGTTTAGTCAAGGACAAACAGTCCTGGGGCCTGTAGGTAGATGTAGGGAAAGGCAAAGTTGGGTAACATTTCCGGCCTGCGAAGAAACAGAGTCCCTTCAGCTAAAGGATTGGTGGGGAGAAATGCAGATAAAACCAAACTGCTCTGCAGTCCAGGTCACACTCCAAGGGCCGCCTCGTGGGCCCAAACCACTTGACAAATAATCACCCCAGAGTTAAGGAAATGAGTCCTGAGGTTCCAGCGGGGCTTTAACAAATACCTCTGGCTTCTCAACCAACCACAACAGAAGGCAGTGATAAGGAAGGCCAGGGATGCTGTTCCAGAGGGTGGCTGTCAGTCCTCAAAGTCGATCCTGATGGGGCCTCCTGTCAGGATGTGGTTTGCCACGTGAACAGGCTCCTGGTCCCGCCGCTCCTCCCGTTGCCCGGCCGCCCTGCGCGCGCGTCTGCGGCAGCCCTGGGCGCAGCGCGAGCTCTCGTCCAGCGCCCCGCACACCAGGATGCGGCAGTGCAGGAACACCTCCTGAGGGGGGACACAGCACAGGGTCAGGGCACAGCCCTGGGCACCACTGCCACTGCTGCCTGTGTGCCACAGCATGGCCCCGGCACGGGGTCCGTGCCCAGCCTCACCGCCCGCAGCCGCAGCGGCCGCTCCGTCTGATTCCTTGTGTGCCCTCTCCAGAGAGCCTGGCTCAGGTCTCAGAGGCAACAGTGGGGAGACAAGGGATAGAAGGTGGGAAATGATCCCCCAGATGAAGGGATGAAAATGGCAGGAGTCAGCTTGGAAGAGCTCACACGGACTGGTAGGAGATGCGTGTCAAGAATGCGTGAAGCCTCGCAAGGATTGATGGAGATGGGCAAGAGAATTTCAAGCGAGCTGGAAAAACAAAGCCAGGAATCTGAAGGGAAAAGGAGGAAAACACAGGGTGATGTTGAGGGAAGAGGGAGAATGCAAAGAGCAAGGAGGCAGCTGCCTTTTCTCCTTGCACAGCACAGGCAGGGACAGGATTGCTGCCCCTGCAATGACCAGGAAAGCAAGCAAGGTCCCTGCAAGCAGTAATCACAAAGACTTGCAGAGGCTTGAAGCAGAATCTATTGTGCAGGATGGGAGGATGCAGGTTGGAGGCAGCAGGGATAATCAGAAAGCCAAGGAAAATTTCTGAATTTTAGAAGATCTCATCTGTTTTAACCCTACTGGGGCTCTCCAATAGCTGAAGCAGCAGCTTTATCCCTTTTGGAGTAGGCAGTATTGGCTGAGCATAACAATGACTGGAAGATCCAATTTCCTCCAACACAGAAAGGAAAGCTATTTGCATTAGGAAAAGGGCATTATCCTTCCACTGTGTTCCCATTACAGAGCTGCTGCCCCAGAGAGACAGCCTGGTTTCACACTGAGTTAAGCAGCGTGGTGGCCTTTGGTCTGGAGTGCTGGCATCTACACCCCCAAGAGCTAGAGAAGACACAAGGCTGAAGAGATTCCAAACTAAAACTGTGTTGTTTTAAAGACAGGGGACTGTGAAATGTGCCTAGTGACTGAAAATATTTGTCTCACCCAGCAATCAAGGGGTCACCAAGACCACCATGGAAGGAGCAATGATTTTAGCCGGTGGTGGCTTGATGTTTCAGAACTGTCCTTCATATTTTAATTTTAGTTGTTTTTAACAATCTTTAGCAATTTCTCCTGAAGTACCTTTGTCAGGAACAACTGCTGGAACAGGCACAGCAGCACCCGCCTTGGGCCAGCCACTCCATACCCTTTTCCAACTTCGTGCTGAGGCTCCTCAGTCATATCAGAGCTGATGAAATATCTAAGAGCTGGGTTTTGAGCTTACCTTGTTGTCTTTGCCCACAAACTTGAACACAGGAACCTGGAAGTGCTTGGCAAGATGGTCCTTTGACGTGTACTGCTTCACGGAATCATCAGAAACACAGCTGAGGAGAGCAGAGGGATGGGCTTTAATGGCTTTCCCAGAAATGGAAAAAAGAAAGAGAAAAGACATTCCAGCCTGCTTAACCAGAGAAAGAAAAGGAGGGATTGGTTCTCTCAGGCTCAGCTACCATTTCTGCTACTTCCTTTTTGGCCGCAGGAGAAAAGTTGGGAGTGATGGGGAAAAAGAGCAGCATTGCTAATGGCATCTCCAGACAGGGAACAGCTCAGCAGCAGAGGGCTGGCAGGACGTGGCCCAGTCCCCTCAGAGAGGGACTGCCAGCGAGCTGCAGGCAAGTCTGTCCTCAATTCACCTCCCTGTGCAACAGCCTGCAGTGTTATACACCCCAGAATGTGCCATGCACTCACTGTATACACAGAGATATGCACATAAATTGTGCTTTAAACGAAGCAGCCTGCACCCACATTACTAAAATATGACAGATGATGAAAACAAAAATCCAGATTTACTTTGCTTAGTATAATTTACATTTTTCTTCCTGCTGGATTTGGTCAAACAGCTCAAATGCACTACACCAAAAATTTATAATTTCAGTTTTTCCATCACTAGCAAGGCATGATTGTAAAAGAGGTCACAGAACTGCAAGAAAATAAGCTGCTTTTATAACAAGCTACATTCCAGGTGCAGTGTATTTTTAAACCATTAAAGCCCATTTAGAGTTTGACAGACAAAAAGTTATGGTGGCTCAATAATTACTCACAATTATTGCAAAGCCTTGGGCATCTTGAGAGGCCCTGATGCTGCTGTAGAATTGCATTGCAATGCAGCTCATCCTTTCTAGCAAGTTCATTCCAAAACTGTGGACTTTGAAAGATATTTAAAAAAAAACCAATAAAGCAGTGGTGGAAGAGACAAGAGGTACTGGTGTAGCTCAAAGCCTTGCTCTTGCAGCATGAGAAATGCGCAATCTTTACACGGAAAATGTGCATGGCATTGTCAGCAATGCTGACATGGTCAGCTCTAAAAGAGCAGTTCTGCCTTTATTGAAGGGAAGGCAGAACTGCTCTTTGGAATCTCTGTGTTGTCAAAATTCCTTTTTAAACAAGGCATCTGCTTGTAAGGAATGACAGTTAAAGACTTTTCATAGGTGGGTGGCCAAGCTCTAGGGCCATGAAGTCAACTCACAGGCACGTTCTCATTTGTGAGCATATAAACTCTGATGATTATTGGACACTGCCTCAAACTGACTCCTAAATCCCAGGCTCTCCAAAGGTTCTCCACACTGGTGGAAGGAAACCTACTGGTTTGGGGCTAGGGAGAGGGAAAGTGGAAGAACACCACAAAGGAGTCAGAGATATGTAGACAAAACCCCCTCAGAAACCTCATGAGTCACAAGGGCAACTCCTTTTGTGTTTGTGGGGCCAGACCATATCCCACTCTGCTGGGAAACCCACAGAGACCCTGCTGCCCACTTTGGAGAGGTGAGAAGAGACAGGTATGGAAGGAAAAGGAGTGGGCCTGGTCAGGATATGGGGAAAACCACCCTATCCCTGTGTATAATGTGCCTAGGTTTGGGGAGCAGAGCGGCAGTGCCGTGGGCGCTGTGCTCTGACCCTTCAGGGCTGCAAGGCTGAAAGGAAGGCTTGCACAATGAAACATCCACCTCACAGACCAACAAACAGGGCAGCCTGAGGCACAAGAAGATGGGCTTTGCAATGGAACTACCTTAACCAGCCAGTGTTCTGCTGAGCGCAGCTCCTGACCTCAGCAGTGACATGACCTGGCTCAGGTGCCCCAGGGAGCTGCAGCGTTATCAGCTGTGCCATCGGTCACTGCCTTGGCTCCCCTTTGTGCTCAGAGCAGGGAATTAACAGGGAAGAGAGCAGCAGAGGGAATTTTCCCATTCCTCAGGCCAAGGTATATCCCCTCCAATATAAACAGTGCTTCCCTTTGGGTTATGCAGTTAACTCTTGCAGGTCTGATCCTTCATAAACTGATACAAAATCCCATCTTTATTGCCATGGGCTTTTGGGCTGGATTTCTAGAAGCAAACTGAGTTATTACAGAAGTGTTTGGAGCAGGGACAACTTAGCAGTGCATTCAGCTAATTTAATTTAGAATCACTGGGGCCTGCAGTGATGGCTGCAGATTGGAGCACTTTTCCCTTCAGTGAAGTTTTAATGCCCTCTGCAGGTACCAAGGGACTGTTGGTGCCATAAATCCTCCAACCAGTGCTGGTGTGGAATCAAGAGATGACATTTCCTGCCTTCTCCTTTCTCTATCCAGCTCAGGTTTTGGCTGCTGTTTTGAATCCCACCATTTTCACTCATGGGGAGAAATAAATGGATGCTTGAGGCCTTGACTCTGGGAAGGGTCCATGGGAACAGCCAAGCCAGGGAGTTGATAAAATCAATTTTTCCATTACAGATCTGCTCATAAAGCCCAGAAATGCTGGGCACAGAAGGACTGCAGTCTAGGATAGGGGGAGAGCAGGCTAATGCTGAATCCTCTGTCAGAAGCAAATGGAAACAGTATTTGTGGGTACTTTACATTGCAGGACCCTTTTGCTACAAGACAAGCACACAGGACTTGCCAGCAGCAGCTGTAACAGTGGATGATTTAGTCTGGCAGCTGAGGACATGATTGTTGTCATCATTAAATGGTCTGGCAGGCAACATACAGGATTTACACAAGCACAGTCCCTGGACTCTCAGGCTACAACTCTTGGGTATGTCTTAGCTATTCCTTTGGCTGGATTTCCCTCCCTAGAGGACAGCAGACTGCCTCACAACTATGATATTTCCTCAGAGCTCTCTGGTTAAGCAGTTGGATGCAAACACTCCACAGCAATGCTGTAGCATGGCAGTCATTTCAGCACCCAAAGAAGTGTCTGAAAAGGGGGATCATCTCAGGAGCCACAGCTGAGCCCACAGCAAGGCTCTCCAAAGCTCTGGTGCAAAAACCACTACAACAGCAAACCCACAGATCTGCACAAAATTACTTTTAGCATATCCTGGAACGATCACTAACCCCAAATACCTCAAAAAATGACAGCCAAACTGAAAGACCCTGAATTTATTGCACTGACAGGCATCAGGGAGAGCAAAGCCAGGGATTCTCCTGCAGCTCCTACCAGGACTAGCAATGGGCTCTTCTGGCTTGTACTGTAATAAGGCCATTATGAGAAAATGAAGAAACTTGCTCCAGTTGCTGCAGCAGCTGCCTGGCACAGCACATGGCCATGGGGGTTCTGCACATTGGCTTGGCACTCTGTGGCTGGCAGAGAGAGGGTATCAGGAATGAGAATCTTTTCTACAGGAGCCAACTCAATTATCCACAAGGCTAGTGACAGGGAAATACATCCTGTAAAGGCTGCACTCAGAGGAACCTCACTCACTGCCTCCCACTGTTTCTCCCAATTACTTTTGATGGGAGAGGTGGTTTCAGCTTGATGGCTGCTGGTGATTGCTATGAGCAGGACAGACAGGCTGCTGTGGAGAGGGGAATAGCGTTTCCTGCATCACACAGACAGCTCAGCCCCACTGCCAATTCCCTCTAAATTGCCAGCAAGAGAGGCAACAGTGAACTCACCCATCTTGAATCAGGTAGTACTTCAGGATCTCATCAATTTTGGAGGTGGGAGTGGCAAAGCAGCTCTCCACCAGCGTCTCCAGCCCACTGACGTGCACCAGGGGCTCAATCCCAAAGTACAGGGAGTCCCTTAGCTTGAGGGTGGGAAGGTCACCCCTGTAGGGCTCATCAAAGTCCTTGTCCTTGAAGATCTCCAGGGTGAAGGGGAAGACGCCCTGGCTGCGGCTCATGATTTCCAGGGGAGAGTTCTTGAGGTTGGGCACGTAGCCCTCGGAGATGGTGTAGCGGCGCGGGAACTCGCAGGTCACCGGGATCAGCAGCTTGCTGGTGCGCACAATGATGTCCCCGTTGCTCCCCGGGGTCTGCTTGGGCAAGCCGGTCACCAGGTTGGTGGCAATGATTTTGTCATTGATTACCTGCAGCAAAGAAAGGGGACGTCACTGAGAAAGACCTCTCTGGGCTGACAGAGCAGCCACTGAAGGACCAGCTTGTGAATTTACAGCCCACAACCAGAGTGATGCTGCTCATCCTCACAGACCAACTAAGGACCTCGGTCTGCTGGCAGCTGCAATGCACCACACTTCTGCTACCCCTCTGCTAAGGTGAGCCATTGACCAGCTGCCAGTTTAACCTTTCAAACATTATCAGGAGACCAGAAGCTGTCTTAGGAGGTGGATGAAGTTTGAGGGCTCTTGTACCTTCTACCCTTGTGAAGCAGGAGGTGAGCAGAAAGCAGCACCCATGCTGTCAGACACACTGCTGGAGGGGGGATGGAACAAGCTCTCTGACTGCGGGATGCCAGCCCAGATCCACTCTGAGGGCAGCTGCATGGCAGCTCTGAGGGTGCAGCTAAATCAGCTGTACCATCCCTTACTTTGTTCCCCAAGAAAGCCACAGCCAGATCCCCAAATGCCAGAGACTGGGCAGTAGGTATACATACATCTACAACAGTTCCACAGGACTTCAGGGAGAAATGGATGTTGACATGAGTGCCATTGGACACGCCTTTGCATGAAGTGTTGATGAGGGAAAGGTCCAGGCCTCCAACCAGGTCCTTTGGGATGTTCACCTCAATAGAGCTGGACTTGCACAGCACTGGAACTGCAAGAGAAGTCCCCAGAATAACATTCTGCACTACAAACCTGCCAGTGAGCTGGAGAAGGGTTACACCAGATATAACTAGGGGAATAAAAGGGGAATCCTACACAGCATTTATGATTATGATCCTACCACAGTAACCTAACCACCCACACAACACAAACCAGAGCTGCCACTGCCCCAAATTCCCCAGCCACAGCAATGCAGAAAGCAGAAAACAATGAAGACAATCACTGCACTTGCAGCAGAAACTCAGCTGTGCTTTCCAGCTTCACTTAACACTCAGCACAGATTTGGTTGCTATCTCTTGCACTGTGATGTCCTAGGAAGAGCCTTTGCCAGATATGGGTATCAAATTCACAACACCCCAGTCAAAGCCATTTTTTAAGACCCTTAATCAGATTTTATATCAAACCCAGAACATGTGAAACAAGGCAGAGTAATTCCATATAGATACCGAGCTGAAATGGAAGCACCTCAAAATGCCATAATAATATTTTTATAAGCAATAAACCCAGCTCTGACAAACAAACCAAATTAGCTCACTCATTCCACCTCCTTCCAACCTTTAAATTTTAATACAGGCCTCCGTGTGAATTTTTTAAATTAAAATTTCATTACATAAGAAGCAGGAGAAAACAGACCTTGGCCAAAATAAAAAGGAAAGAAGAGAGAATAATCTTCAATAAAAAAGTAGTTGCTGTACATATATTCGTTAGGATTATTCAGTTAAGTTGGAAACAGGACAAACACACTGGTGGCATATATTCTGGTTTCAGCCAGAAAAAACAAACCTTTTGCAGGATTTACATTTATTATATTTTACAACCCCACAAAACCTTTTTGCAAATATACCAGTTTCCGGAGACTTTTGCCAAAATTAATTGTAGTCCCAGTCCTTGACATTCCTGTGACCTACCTTCCCTTAATTTCAACCATTAATTATATAATTTAAGATTCTGGATATTTGAAATAAGGCACACTTCTAAAACAGGCATTTCAACTCCCTTTAAAAATTTCCCTGTCCCAGCTCAGGTATTTGCAACAGCCTCTGAGTACCTTCAGGGAGGATTTTTGATTAGAAGATGATAATTTCAAAGTGATATGCTAAAATGTATGCAGACTGCCCAAAGCAATATGTTCCCATAATGACACTGCTGGGTTAGAACAGTAGCTTAAAGAACTAAAAATTACCTTAACCTTCCTTCCACTGGCAGCAGAAGGCAAGTGGGAATAACTGAGCGTGTCAAATGGCACAGCTCAGGAGCAGACAAAGGGACTTGGAGAACAGAGCACAATGCAGACAGGAACATCCTTTGGAAAACTGATTGGCTCCATCTGGATTTAAGGACTCGCTGTTCTAGCACTCCTTGATAAATAAGAAAATGTGCTGCTTTTATAAAGGTGACATTCAGGGCAAGGGATTTGGATCCCAACTGCAATTCTTCGAAGTTCAGGACTGATTTTGTCCAGCATCTCTCTGTTTCTACATGTCTTTGACTGGCACAAAGTGGGAGAAGGAAAAGATTCCATTTTCCCTGTGTTTTGGAGCTGCAGGAGATGTGTGCCCTCCACCACCTGGACACAGAAACAAGGTAAGGAAACCTCTTGACTCAAGCCAAATCGTGGCTATTTGAGAAAACAGTGTGTGCCAGTCAAACATTTCCGTTCTTGTTGGGAAATTTAGGAGACTAGAGACTGGAAAAGCACAAAGCTGTGGCTAATTCCAAGTCCTGCACCTGTGAGATAGCGTGTCCTTGGGCCTAGCTGTAGTAGGATAACAAACAGTGAAAGAGACATGAGAAAAGAGAGATGTAACCCCTAAGGAATGAGGAAGAGTTCATGGTATAGTTTAACCAACAGATTGCTTGGCTTACAGAATATTCATAAGCTTATTATTTGCTGTATAAGTGTTTGATGCTTTCTTCAATAAATTGGACCTGTGATGAACCACCTGGTGTCCTGGTCCCCTTCCTACGACAAGTTCTTCACCTCATACCTCCCAGAGCACCTGTGAGAACTGGGAAAGCCTCCTCATTTCCTCTTTAAGCTCTATTTTGCACCAATGCCTCTGAGCACCTGCCCCTGGGAGGAAGCTTCTGTGGCAAGTCCAGTGCTCATTTCCCTGCCTGCCGTAGTTATTGGCACCACATTCCAGCCTCTGGCTCCTTCCTTGGTCTTTCAAAGTGCTGCTGCTTGGAGCAGAGGTTATCTCCCTGCACAGGCTGCTCAGCAGAACAGGCTCTCTGGTGCTGGGGAGCCCTGACCCACTGCTGCAAACATGAACCTTGCTTACCTGCACAAAAATTCGGGCAGGGGATGGGGGAGAAGAGCATCTCATCCCTACTCTTCAGGAATAGGATGGGCTGCAAAGTTCTAGAATGATCTGCACCAATCCAAGTACTTTGCTGGCTGGTATCTTTATGGAAAAATTGCAGCCTGCAGACTGTGATTTCTGTGGAAGATTACTAATGTTTGTTCTGAACAGTGCAGAGCAGGGTGGAGAGGCTGCAGATCCAATTGCTTCAGGCTACTCTGCCTACCCTGCATTGTTAATTGAACCAATATAGACCTGATTAGGTGTCACAAAAAATTGTGTGGTTCAGTTCCATATGTGCTCAGAATTGCAGGCCACAGTATGGGGACATAAATGGATGAATGCAAAAGAAGAGGCAATTTCACCTTATGAGATGCTGTATCCTGATTCCAGCCTGGCTCCTAGCAGTGCTGCTGCTCTCAGGAGCAGCCTCACCAGCAGCAGAAACCCTGGCTGGGAAATCCAGGACTTGCAGCCCTGCTGGGGCTGCCTCAGGGGCCCAGGACTGAAAAACATCACAAGGTCTGATATCAATCAGACCTTCAGTCAGTGAGTGTGATCACAACTCTTGGAAACTCCCACCTCCACTGCTGGATCCCAAGTGGGCAATGCTCACCCCTGGGAGCCCTGCACTTCTAAAAAGCTTAAAAAGCAGACAATCCATCAAGCAGAACCACTGCAACTTCCTCTCTGAGGCATACCTGCCCTTTTGGCCACCATGAAGCCCTGATCTGTCCCTCCCACTGATGTCTGGGCACTCTGTGGCACATCAGACTGCAGGAGGTTCTCTGAGCACACCAGGCAACACCAGACTGCTGGTAGCCTGGATGTATTTGCAAAAGAAATCTTTGCAGAAACCAGGGAGCTTGTTTATTCCATGGGCATGCCATTGGCACAAGTGACTCAGCATGAAGGACTCCTGGGGAAAGTTCAGATGGAAGGTTCTCCAAGGATAACGCTGCCCTGGCCTCTACACAACAGAAGCAACAGTCAATTTTTGGATGCTATCCTGGGCACTTTTCCAAGGGGCAGCAGGCGCACCGAATATCAAAGCTAGTGCCCTGCTTCAAGGCACGGGAATGCTTACTGGAATGGCACACTTGGAAAAAAGCATGCCTCTCTCTTTAACCCTGTTCTTGGAAAGGACTGGACTGCTTTAGCTGGGAGTTTGAAGTTTGAAGCATGGAAAATGTCAGCTCTAACAGCATAAATTTGTCAGGGGTGTGCATAGAACAGTATAATGGGAGATGTTTGTGGGAAATTGCAGAGGTAAGAAGATTTCCAGAAAGCTGTAAAAGCAGGCCTAAGAAATAGAAAGAACAGAGAACTAGCCACAGCTGCAAAGGCTGAAAGTACAGAAAGTTACAATGGTATGGCAAGCAAGGACATTAAACTACATCTTGAGTTTTAGGCTTGGCTAAGACAGACCTTAAAACTGCAGGAAAATATGCTTAGCAAGGTAGTAGAAGGTTTTAAGCTTAATAATAAATGATTGTGTACTGTTAATAGAAAGAAGAAAAGTAAGCACTGTGAAGCAGGTGTACATGTGCTTTTAGTAACTGGCTAGAATAATTGTCTGTGAGTTCAGCTATTATTAGCCATTGGCTAGAAAGTTTTAAAAATGTTCTGTAACAAAAAAAAATCTTTGGCTGCTTCTGGCTGTACATGAGCTTTTGCCAACTTTCTATTGTCTCAACCATGTAATGAGGCTGATGCTGCAATAAAAGCTCAAGGATTGTACCCCAGCAGTCCTGCTCTGTTTGTGAAAACAAACTCCCAACACAATGTTAAGCAATATTGGTCATAAGGGAACACTGCACTACAATTAATGTGATGCAAGGTGCGCTCAAGCTGGGCCCTGTGGCTGCTCTGCCTGGAGAGAAGAGCAACATCTTCAGGCTCTCAGCTTTGGATGGTCTGTCATTAGCAACAAAGCTCCATTAACCCAGCTGGGAAGGACAGACTAAGGGAAGACAGTAGAACCAAGAAGAAAAGTTCCTTCAGACATTCTCTCGGGGGCCAGAGGCTGCCAGGGAGATTTTGTTGACCTACCCTGGCAAGTGTGGTTGTCTTCTGCCAGAACAAGACCCCTGGGGCATTCACACTGGTAGGTGCCTTCCACTTCAATGCAGGTATGGCTGCAGCCTCCGTTGTTATTGTGACAGCCTTCAATTTCTGGGAAAGAGAGGAAAATCAGCACATCCTGCAGCCCCCAACAGACCCCAACCAGCCAACAGTCTGAACAATACAGCTCAAAGGCAACAGTTTGTTTCCCAGAAAATGAGGTGTAAACCCCTTTTTAAATTGTACTTCAGCATAATGATTTTTTTCTTTCAAATAACCTTAACTGCTTGATTGGTTAACTGTTTTAACCCTTTGGGATGAATATGCTAGATGAGTACTACTGTTCTCAGTAAAATAACAGAACATGAGATAAGCAAATCATAAATATAAAATATATCTTCCTGAGCCTGCCATTAGAAATCACTGTATGGTTTTCACTGAAATGTAAAAAATGGAAATCCCACACTCAAACCTATGTAATGCACGGAAAATAACAGCCCAAACTCCATATGAGTCAAAGCAATGGGTAAAGCATCATAATGTAAATTTTGAGATAAATTAAACCCAATTCAGCCTCAGCAGCTCAGGTAATCAAGCTGAATCTCCTGCATTTGTTCTTTTTAGCAACAAGCTGTGAGGTGGCTCACACCTCACATCCCATTCTCTACCAGCTCACAAAGCTGAGGATACATCTTCAGAAATAAAACTCACTAACAAGATTGTAAAAATCCCCAGCAGCAGTGTTAAACTCAAGAAAGGCACCATCCTTTGTACAGAAGGGAAATTAAATGATATATCAAAGGCCCTAAAAGCCAACTTGGGGAATGGCAGAAACAAATGAGTTTCCAAACAGACTATTCCAGCCCTGTCAGAAGAGTGCAGCACTTGGGAATAAAAATTGCACAGCTCATTTATGTGATGCCCCAGCAGCTCAGAGCTGGATGTGGCAGGGACAGAGCCCACAGACCATTTTTGGCCCCACACACCTTGATAAGTAACTTAAGGAGCACTCTGCACAGCAGCATTTCCCAGCAAAGTGTCATTGCCTGGATGAGTGATGTACCAGCAGAGCTCAGAGAGTAGATTTAGCTCTTTTGGGTAGCTGAAAAGTGAGGCACACATGTAGTTGTTTTCCTTGTCTGAGGCCCCACAGTGTCTGTGAACAGCACACAGCAGCTTTGCAGTGAGGGGGCACAGTGCTTTTCCACAGCTCACCACAGAAACCCTCAGGCACTCATCAATTTCTGCTGGGATTGGGTATTTCTGCTCAGGGATGTTCGTACATTGTTAGTGACAACACATCAGGCCCACAATTTGGTCTTTAAGCCACCAGTCTAAATTTATCAAGGGTTTTCAAGCTGGCTGTGCCACCACTGTGAAGGAACTGTGGCAGAGAGCACAGAGCAGCAGAGCCCACAAACACCAAAGATCAGAATGCTGCCCTAATCCCAAATTTAACTTCTGTCTGCAGATTGGCACCCCCTCTCCTCAATCACTATCCTGGGAGGCTAAAGTGATCCTCGTGCTCTAGTCTAATGTCAGGGCATTACCTGCCCTGCCTACCATTACCATGCCTAATGTGAGCTGGAAAAACCCAGGGCTGCTAAATCTGCCCCCACAAAACTCTACCCCACAAATCTCCAGAGGTTCAAATCTCCAGATATCAAATCCCAACAAGTTCTGCCTGGACAACCAATCTTCCAGATCCACTGCTGCCTTTCCCCCATGGAGATAAACACAAGCAAATCCTAACAGAAAGGGACAAGGCAGTGAGAACAACAAGGAGATTTCTCTCTGCTTGCTTAGAAGGATATTTTAGTATCAACCTCTCTGGCAAGCACAGAGGTGATATCAATGACATTTAATCCCAGGTGCAAGGAGCCAAGAGACAGCCAGTGCTGCAAGGGAATGATTTGCAGAGTTTCCAGCAGCCTGTGGGAGCTGAAGCCTCACCTTCACAGGTTTTGCCATCGCTGCCCAGCGTGCGCCCGACCCCGCACTCGCAGCGGAAGGAATTCTTCAGGTTAACGCAGAACTCGCTGCAGCCCCCGTTGTTCTGCTCACACTCATTTTCATCTGGAAAAAAACCAGCTCTGGAATGGAATGAATAATCCCACTACAAGTAGTAACGCTGACAGTAGCTTTTGAATATCACGGTAGAGCTCTGAAAACTGCTCCAAATTCTTTTTTTAAAAGCTGAAGTGGCTTCTGTGTCTGTCTGCCCTTCTTTTTTTTTTTGTCTTTCTTCTCTGAGATTCTAATCTCTCAACCTGATTTAATCTCTGTGTGCAAAAAGCAAATCAAACAGAGAGAAAGGAACAGACATTATTCTTGCTGAGCCACGAAATGAATGACTTCTCTAAGGCAGGCCAGGATGCTGAGGTTATCAATTAAAGTTCACATGGGATTTCATCAAAACAGCTTAGAAGCTGGCATTTATTAGGTGTCAGAAGCTTAAAACCAAGAAAAAAGAAAAGTACCATTTTAACAGGCAGGTGAGAGATGAGCTCTCTCAGGTACCTGTGGTCCCACACATGCACAGAACCCACAGCTGGCAGCTGCTGGTGGTGTCTCCTTCCACAAGCAATGTGAATTGAGTATTTTTAGCCAAAGGCTTGGCTGGTGCCTTGCTTTGGGAGGCAGGAAGCATGTCCAGGAGACTCCCACAGACTCTGCATTTCACACACGTGACAGGCTCCACACGTTCCCTTCTAAAAATGAATCTAAAGTTGCTTAAAAACAGAAGGTGAAGAGGGAAAGGGCTACTGGCATGGAGATGTTGTTAGAAGGGTCTAGAGATTGTCTTGGTCAAGGGCTGGGCCCAGAAATTCCCCTGACTGGTCCTTCCAAGTTCTACAGCACACACAGATCTCTGTCCCTGCTCTTCCCCACTGGTGACAAGCAGCACTTCTGGGACACTTCTGGTTGTCTTGAGACTGCATTGGGACAGTGCTGAGCTGATTTTAACCATGGCTTAGCAGAACATGAATCCAGGCCTTGAAGAAGTCAAAGGCAATGCACCGGGTTGGTGGGTGTGTGACAGGAAGTCTAAGACCTTATTTAACCCCTAAATGAAAATGTAACTCAGGATCAGCTGCCCTGCTCTGGGATTTAAATAATCTAATGTACTGAGGAGAAGCACAGAGCTGCTCAGCCTTCACAGAATGGTCAGGGTTGGAAGGGATCTTAATCCTCATCTTGTTCCATCCCTTGCCACTATCCCAGGTTGCTCCCAGCCCTGTCCAGCCTGGCCTTGGACACTTGCAGGGATGGGGCAGCCACAGCTGCTCTGCTGCATCACTGCAGCAGCTTCAGTCCCCCTCTTTGGGGCAGCTGGGAAAGGAAGCCCATTCTCTGTTTAGGAAAGACAAACAGAGATTTATTTGGTTTCTCCATAAGCAGGGCACAGTTGCTCTCAGAGATGTGATTGCACAATCACTCAGCACAACAGAAAGTTATTGGAAAGACCATGGAGCCACACAAGAGAGGCTGCAGGTAGGTGAAGCAGTGTGAGCATTCCAGCTGAGGTGCTGTGCCACCTGGGAATCTCCAGGAGAAGCAGCAGGGCAGAAATCCTGCTCATGGGGCAAGGAAAGCAGCTGCAGCACACACAGACAGGCTCAGGACTCCTGTGTGCCTCCCTGCTGCAAGAAATCCTTTCCTCTGAGCCTGCCACACATTCACTGAGTGCTAGTGCTTGTCAAGGGCACTTCTGTGGCTGGAAGGCTTGCACAGAAGCAGCCAATAAATGCTTTTAATTATCTGAGAGAGCTCAGTCAGCCACTTGGCTGCAGACAAGTGGAGCTGCTTAAGCAAAAGCCTTCCCCAGAATCACTGGGAGCAAGTGTAACTGCAGCAGGACCATGCTGCTCCTTCCACACACTGGAATGCCTGTGGGCCCTGCCCTGATGCTCACAGGTGTGTGAAGAAAGAAACCACCCATGGCTGCTGTGTCTGGTGCAGCCCCTATGGAGCAGACTGACCTGCCACAGCCTCCTGGACCAACTCTGCTTTCAGCTTCACCACCAAATCAAGTGACAGATGAGATTCCTCCTCCCCCAACACCCTTTCCTCCATCCTCTCCTATCCATCAGTGTGGCTCTGCAGCTCTCCAACAGACACCCCCTCCCAGCCCCTTGATTTGTCCCATCATCTTCCTGACCTCTCAGTGCTCTCCCCCAGCACCACACACAAAAAACAGAGCTCTCCTCAGAGCTTCATGGGGATTTCCCCACAAATCTCCAAAGCCCACATTCCCCACTCTGCTCTCACCTCCCTGCTGGCCATGCTGGTCTCTGCCACCAAGTGGCAGCTCCCTGAATACGCTCTTGTCATGCTGCCTAAAATCATTACAGCTGTGGTGGGACTTACAGTTCTTTGGGTCTCCTCAAGCCCCAGGCCCTGGACAAGGGCAGGAAGTATGATGGGCTTTAGTGTGCAGCCCTATAGCAGTCAGATTTTTTTTTTTTTTTTTTGGAGGAGAGATATTCAAGAGAGTGTGTGAGAGGAAATCTCTAATGCCAGACTGCACAGCACTTCCTGAGTACCACAGTGACACCACAGAATCCTACACCACGATCCTGCAAAGAGACTCTGCTACTGCCTTCAGCAGCTGAACCATGCAGAAAGCAAATCCAGCCTCACAATCATGGAGCTCCAGGGGCACGAGAATGGATGCAGTCATGGGATGTCATATCTTGGAACCATTTACAGAATCATAGTCCTGGTTCTAGGCAGCAAAGGGGAAACGTCCTCTCAGAATATGTCATTTTTTATAGTGCTTTGTAAGGCAGGGGATTGAGATGTGAGCAATGAAACAAAGGGAAGAAAAGCATCACAAGTGGCACAGCTTATTTCCACCCTTACCAAGGCATGTCTGGCCATCAGGTCCGAGTGTCGTACCCGGGGAACACGTGCAGTCACCGGTGTCCAGGCAGGAGTCCTGGCAATCCACCACATCACAGATGTCATAAAAATCTAGGGCACGACAAGAACAAGGTCAGCACAAAGCCCTGAACGTGTAAGGAAAGCACAGGATTTGTCCCTTCAGCTTCCCACCCTGTGTGCAGCCTCTCAGTTACAGACCTGGCCCACATTGGCAAAGCTGACCTGCTGAAGCTGCTGAGAAACAATCAAGTTTAATTACTGCGAGGCAGAGATGCAAATTTGACTTTGGTAACGTGCCAAGACAAGCCACAGGGCCCACAGGGAGCATTAAACCACTGAGGCCAGGTCAGATGTGTAAAAATCCTGCTAGAGGAACAAAGCAGGTAAAACGGCTGGAATGTGACAGTGTTGGGCTGTGATGTAATAGCCTGTCTCAGCTACCCCAGTTCTTTCCCCAGGTGTGCCAGTCACCTCTCCTTTCCCCTCCCTTGCCCCTGCTGGGTGCTGTCCCTCAATCTTGGCATCCCAGAAAGGGGTTGTGTGATCAGCAAAGTTCAAAAGATGCCTCTCAGTCCTGGGGACATTGGGCCATCCAGCTGTCATTTGTCCCCTGAGACTTCGCCCCCCTTACCTGGTTGGTGGGATCCCTACCCCTTCCCTCCCCCTCTCCCTGGGGTTAAGGGAACAGCAACCACGCGGTTCTTGGTTCTGTTGGAGCTGTTGCTGCATTCAGAGACCTGAGTGCTAGGAATAAAGATCCAAACCCTCCAGCAGAACCTGATTCCTTTTTCCTTCACCTTGCCTTGAAGCCTTTCCACCAGAGGTAAACCTGAGGTTCTGCTTGCCTGGACTTGTCCCAATCGCCCAGCTGCAGCATCCAGCCAGCCAAAGGTGTCTCTGGAGTGAAACACCACACACCCAGCCAGCCAAAGGTGTCTCTGGAGTGAAACACCACACACCCAGCCAGCCAAAGGCGTCTCTGGAGTGAAACACCACACACCCAGCCAGCCAAAGGCGTCTCTGGAGTGAAACACCACACACCCAGCCAGCCAAAGGTGTCTCTGGGGTGAAACACCACACACCCAGCCAGCCAAAGGTGTCGCTGAGGTGAAACCACCACAGCTGCCACCCGTGGTCAAGCAGCAAGGACCACACAAGCCCAGGCACGTTGCATCTGGCAATATTGGTATTAAATTCCAATATGACAGGCCACCACCTGGAGAAGCCAAGGGGGGCTCAGGGAGGACCAAGGGGGCCTCAGGGCGGTGACTTACGGCCGCAGTAGGCGTGGAAGCAGACGCTGGGCTTGCTGAGGTGGTACACGAAGTACCCCCCCGGGCAGGCCTTGACCTCGATGCTGGCGTTCCAGAGGCAGCAGTTGCCGCTGAAGCTGGCGCAGGCCTGGCGCCGCACGATGCCGTCGGCCGGGCGCGGGTGGCTGCCGTTCATCCAGAGGGGGGCGTGCGTGCCGCAGTGGTTCTCGGGGATGCAGAAGGTGGGCATGGCGTCCCCGGCCATGCCCGTGAAGCGGTACCACTCGCCGTCGATGCCGCTGTCGCACGTGGGCTGCCCGTGAGAGCCGTTGATGCGGTGCTCCGTGTTCCTCCAGGGCTCGTTCAGGCTGATGTAGGCCGAGCAGGGGTCCAGGGCTGGGACACACACACACAGAGACAGATATCAACACGGCTGGTAGATATCAAACTGAGGTGTTGATGGATTGTTCTGGTCTCTCTGAGTGCTACTGAGGGAACCCCAGCCAGCCCCGAGATGGTGAACAGTGAGAGGCGGGCACTCTCCCATGCCCTGGGGGTACAGAGGGCAGCCAGGCTGATCCTGGGGGTACAGAGGGCAGCCAGGCTGATCCTGGGTGTACAGAAGGACAGAGGGCAGCCAGGCTGATCCCCAGGGGTACAAAGGCAGTCAGGCTGATCCCTGGGTGTACAGAGGGCAGCCAGGCTCATCCCCATCCCCAGGGGCACAAAGGCAGCCAGGCTGATCGCCTGCAGCAGAGGAGATGCTGGAACAACAGCAGAAGATAAAGGGCCGACTCTTAGCAGGGGTTAATCCAAGGTTTTATTCAGGGGCTCTGGGGAGCTCCTGCACCTCAGGGGGCTCCTGCTGAGAGCCCCGGGAGAGGGGCCAAGGTTACATTTAAAGGGAGGCAGAAACCGAAAGTAGATAACATTTTACTGACCAATGAGTGACCCTAAGGGATGGGCACTGGGGAATGGACATTTAGGACAGCATGTGAGGAAACTCTTGGGGCGCTGACCCCTGGCCTCCGGCTGATCACTCGACCACCTGGACTGAAACTTCTAGATGGAGGGGATGGGATGCAGGGTGGGGGTTTGGGGATGATGTCAGCAAAGGAAAGGGATTACACAGGTAAAGGGAGGGGCTACAATCTGGGGCAAACCATTTGGGAAAAATACTGGGATACAAAACCAAAACTATTACAAAGTATTACAAGGTATAAAATCACACTACAACAATGGATAGTTACAAAAGCATTTTCTTTCCTCTGTCCCTGACTTAACGGAACCCTTGTGATCTGTTCTCAGCCCTGGGGAGAAAAGGTGATACCTGCAAACTCATTGCCTTGTGGAAAATCCTGACAGCTTGTCTTAAAGGTCTTGGAGGAACAAGTGAATTAACAGAGCTCTTACAACATTCTGCAACAGTCTGACTTGCTGATTAGCTGACAGGAAAAAACAAGATACAAGCAAATCTGAGGTCTAGGTAATGATTTTGCCATAGGAAATACACCCTGGGATCTAGCCTAGGACAAAAACCCTCTGGTCAAGACAAGCTGAGCACCTACAATCCCCTCCTGAAGTAACTGGTAACTCTTCCAGCTGCCCTGGAACAAAGGACTATATCTCAAACATGCTATGCAGCCTCTTTTAAAACCCACCCACAGCCAGTGTCAGCCCTCACAGCTGAGCTGCCAAACCTTTTTAATCATTATCTTACAATTTAGAGGGTGTGAAGGTCTGAATTGGGACATTCTGGGGAGCAACACATTAAACCCTCCACACAGCTGTTCCTTGCAAGCCCACAAACCCTCCTGTTTGCACAGGAGATCAGCTGCTTGTGAGTGGAGTGAAGTGAGTGTTTGTGGGGGCAAGACATGAACACGTGGACCTCCTGGCAGCGCTCAAGGAGTGTGTCCCTTTCCAGAGGCCTCTCTGAACCTTCTGCAAATAATTAAAATATGAGAGGACTATGGGGAGAACATAAATGAGGAATTTAAGTGTTCATTAAATTTTCAATCTCCTCCTAATTAACCCTCATTTGGCAGCTTCCTCACTGGAAGTCCAGAGGTTCCATTTTGCCTTACATTTAATACCTGATTAAGCACAACTTATCCATGACAAGCAATTCCCCATTAAGCAAAAGGAATGCTAATACTGCCCTGAGTAAGGAAAATTGATTACCATTTCCTAAAATTAGGCTAATAAAACAAATCACTCTGACAAAATGCATCTTGGACTGCAACAGCCTCAACCTTCCAGAGAACATTTCTTTTGAAGTTCTAAAGCTGTGCTGTTTTGACAATAGTGTGGTGGAGTTTGGGTGAGGGAGGAATACTGTGCTCTTCCTATTAGAAACACAAATGATCCTGGTTCATTATTTGGATTTGTTTCACTGACTTTAAAGTGGGAGCTACAAGTGCTTCAGAGAATAGACTTCAAGTCACTCTTATTTAGCTGTGTCCTCTGTAAATATCTGTCCCACAGATGTGCTACCTTGTAAAAATATCTCACAATTATAACGCTTCTCATGCCTTCCTCAGCCACAGATACATTTTGCTAGGTCTCAAATAAAAGGCAGGAGCAGCTGCCAGAGTCAGGAGTGCTGCAGAGCTGGCACAGGGAGTGTGGTTCTGGGTTACGGAGGAATCTCCAGTGCCACGATTCAAAGACATGCAGAGGAGCTGATTCACTGGCACCACAACCAGCCTGGTTCTCCTGAGCAGCAGAGAGGGGACTGCAGCAGGGAATCTCTGATGGGATTCACCAGCATTCCCTCCTGAGCTCTCCTTTTCACCTCTGCTTGCCTGCCCTTACCCACAGCCAGCAGCAGCAGTGAATGGGTAAATCCCATCCTCCAAAAGCTGGTTTGACTTCTCCCAGAAGGAAAAGGTGGAACAGAGCTTCCTCTGGGCTTCCCTCAGTGTCATTCCCTCATTTTCCACAAGAGGATTCGGTGTGGCCTTAGGTGAGTCACTGACTGAGATGAGAAGGTTTTTGTGCTGTTAAAAGCCAAACGAGGTGAAGCAGGAATGCCCTGTCTGCTTCCCAGCTGGGCAGCACTAAAAATACCAACACTCTCATTAGCTTTCATGTAATTATGAAATATCCTTTGGAGACAGACTCTGGGAACGCTCAGCTAGGGAGATTACATTGTCTCCTAAACATCCAGGAGAGAATTCAAAGGCAACATCTAGTGAGATGAACATGCAGCAGCTCAGAGGGAGCTGGAACAGGCACATCAGGGGAATTGAGGTAGCACTCCCTCACATCTTTCATTCCCCTGAGAGCTTCTGGCAGGAGTGAGGGGGAAGCAAACCAGCAGAAAAAGCAGACAGTGCTCTTTGGAACACTGCACATCCTCACAGCCACCTTTGGACTGCCAGTGCTGCCCCGCACCAGCCTCCCAACAGACACCAAGCAGTCTTTGGCAGCACAGTTTTTTCATTTCAATTAATTAAATTGAGTTTTAAGGAAAAAAATCCACAAAAACAGCGAAGGGACTGATCACCCTCTCCCCTCTTCTCCCCAAACAACAAGCTTGGGGGTTTGCACAAGACTAATAACTGTCTCCAGCTCACTACTTTTCATTTTTCTTGGCTCAATTCTTTTCCTCCTCAATGCTTCTTGCGTGGCCAGAGCAATTGAGGCTGACAAGCACTAGCTACAAAGCAAAGCTTTTCCATTTGTAGGTTTGATGCTATCATTAGTTCTCTGACTGACATGGTAGCAGCTAGACTGAGTGACAAATCAGGTGACAAATCAGGCTCCAGCAAGCACTGGTGAGTGCCCCATGCTGCAGAGATTAAGCCTGGGAGCATTGTGTAACTGGAGGTCTCTGCTCCAGCACAACTAAGCAATAAAGGGAGCAGCAGTACATTGTGGCACTAAATTCAGTTCAGATTTGTGACAAGGAAGCAGGTGAAAAGGTAGCACAACTCTACTCATAGAGTCTGTCCGCCAAAGGGAGAGGAAAATCCCACAGTGTCTTGGCAGTAGAGATTCTCTCAGCATGGGAGACTTAACACTCTGTAACAGAAGGATCTTCCCAACTGGAAGGAATTTCACATCACCTTCAAACAAAAGGGATATTTCTCCCAGCTTCCAGTCTTTCACCTAAGAATACCAAGGCTCACTGTGAACCTTGGAGATGGCAAACAGAAATAAGGCAATGCCTCTTTACTCACCCATTGAAGACACTGGCTGGAGCTGGACAACAAAGTAAATGCAGAAAAACAAGTACTGGAACATCCCACTGAGCCAAGGAAGAGCCACCACTCAAGGGACAGAGGCTTCAAAGTCCTTGCACAGGCTGTGGCTCTTGCAGCCTTCCTCTCAGTGGAGCTTCTGACTCCAGGCTTCCAGCAGAGCAAGTGTGATTGCTCTCCTGGAAGTTTATCAGAGGAAGAAGCTGGAGGGACGTGGGCTACAGCTCCAGCCTTGACCTCCCCAGAGCAGCTCTGCCCCTGACTGACAGCAGGGATGTACTCACTGATCAATCTTGTGTTTTGGACTTGACCTGCTATTGTTTTCTGCCCTGACTGCCCCACAGTGACACCTCCTCTATCTTATCCAGAGAAGAATTCCAACCAGGGACACCCGGACATCCCGAAGGGATGGAAAAGGAGAACAGATGGGTGCTTGTTATCTGTGCTCCTTCCACAAGTCCCACTCCATGGCTGCCTTGAGGCAGAAAACACAGCTAAGGAGCCTCAACTGCAGGAAATAGTGGCCAAAGGAGCAGCACTGATCCTTCCGAGCACAGATTGCAGAGGAGTGCCTGGAGCAGAGCTACAATGGGAACATCAGTCAAACTGAGAGACTCGTGTCCCCCAGGGAAATGAGCTGTTCCTAGGCTACACACAGGCCCCTGCCACTCCTGGTCACACAGGCTGACCACTGCAGAGAGATTATCAATCAAGGCAAGTAAAGACACTTTTCTGCAGCGTTCTCGCAAATCTCTTGGCTTGAAAAAATAAATCAATCCCAACGTTATGGAGTTAATTTTGGTGCAAAACAGAGTATTCTAAGGACCTCTCCTGACTAGCTCAAACCAAACTGGGCTGAGTCACAGGTGACAGCCACAAGCTCTAGATGCAGCACACTGAAATGTGTTCTTAACTACAGCAAGCCCAGAAAGGGTTCTTCACCCTCACCCCACCCCAAGAGCTCTCCATCAGCAATGAGTGCAGCTGAGCCTGCAGTCATTACACAATCAGGCAAATGTGGGAATCTCCCCATTCCCTTGGCATCCTGCATTTCTGCAGCAGCCTGGCCTAAGAAAGGACACCAAGCTTCAAATCCCAGCAGGAAAAAGTTCTCCATTATTTACATGATGAATTTGCCCAAGACAGGGAGTTGGGTGCTTGTCTGTCTTGCAGGGACTGTACGTTACAGAGAATCCTCAATGGCCTCTCTGTTGGGGTGTGCTCCTGGGAGTGAAGTGCCATGTGCTGCTCTTCTCCACCCCAGCACAGGAGTCTTCTTTCAGTGGTGAATGATTCTAAGGAACAACAAAAAAACTCCAAATAAATGACTGATATTGCTCCCATAAGGAAAAAAAAAAAAATTCTTGTGGCTCTATTGTGCTGACAGCTGTGCAGTACCAGAAAGGCTTGTCCAACAACAGGAAAAGAGAACAGATTCACTACACAAAGCTATCAAGGCAGATAACCCTCCAGAGGTGACTATGTGAATTCCCAGAAGAGAAACTAAAATTGAACAGAGAATAATACAGCAAGCCACTGGAATTTCTATTTTGCCACTTTCATTGAGAGGCTGGTTCGTACTCACGATGCCAGGTAAATAAAACTGACAAGCCTGAATGGAATGCTCTGTTTGTGTCACAGGTGTGTACAGCTCCCTGAACCATCCCTCACCAGCTGCTGTTGTTTTGTAGCTGCTAGATGAGCCTGCTACAACAAGGTTTTGACAGGCACATGGCAGTGACTGACAGCTGCCAATGAACACAGAGAAATGAACTGCAGCATGGCAAAGTGGAGCCTCAAAAGTGTCACCTACAGGCCCTATCAAGTTCTCAAAAATGGATTAAAGCAGGAGATGCCCCAGCATTCCCAGAGATGGCACTATCCCAAATCATCATAACATCTGATTGAAGAAGTGGTCTCAAGCTGGAGAAGACAGCCAGACTACCTCTAAACATTTCTGGGAAGAAGCATCAGAGGCAACTCTTCTATCAGCAGCCTCTCTTTGAAAGTTAATTTGGGTGATACTCATAGCTCCAATTCCCCCACAAATGACCTATGCCTCAGGGAGCTGTAACAGTCCTGAGAGGATAAATGGAGAGAAAAACCCCAAAGAAAAAACCTCTCTGCAAGGAGATGCTCTGTGGGAGAGACAATTCCAATAGGGCATTCTCTAGGACCTGCACTCTACAGCAAATATATTGTTTCTGACCGCCACATTTGCACCTCAAAGACTGATGCACCCAACACCCCAAAAAGAATCAGCTTCAAGTTAGAATCTTTTAAAAGAAGCTGCAGGTACTGTTTAAAATATATGAAGAAGGAAGGCAAAATTAAAATAGAGGGCAGGGATTTTATTTTGGTACCCAAAAGGGATTTTCTAAACCTGCTTCAAAGCCTGTGCATATCTGTTCTTAACACAAGAAAAATGCTCATTTTGCAGGTGGCAAGCACCCTTCTTGTGGAAGAGAGATCTCTGCAGGGCTTTACCACCCTCACACAAGGAACTCAAATTCTTCAAAGCACTGGCTGGGCTGGAAAGCCTCATACAGTTTGTAATGGACTCATGAATAAAAATGCTTTGGCATTTGCTGAGTGGTCTGGGTTTTGTCAGAGCCACCTCTCAGGACACAGCAATGCCTGGGAGGCGTGTGAAGCACAGCTCTGGGTGCAGGAACCTGCAACCTGCCCAGAAGGAGCAGGAGGAAGAGCTAATCAGCACTTCCTGCTGCAGGGAGGGAGGAGAGCCTGGCACACAGGACAGGCTCCCTTGCGTGGGATTGACTGGAGGATGCACGTTCACAATAAGCCCTGACAGGCAGCTGAGATGGATTGCACTGAAGTCAAGGACTTGGAGATAGGCCTGGTTGCTGTAAACAACTTGTTCCAGCACTCAGAGCCATGGGAAGGGCTGTGGAGATCAGGGAGGGAGCACAAGCTGAGTGAAATGTGAGCAAACCCCTCACAAGTACAGCACTGAGAGCCCAGTAACATCACTCCTAGTTAAGAGTAGCAGTTGTTTCCTTTCCCTGAGTGGAGCACTGTGATGCACAACTTGGTGTTTGAGAGTGTTTTTCCACAGGTCCTACTAATCCAAGTCCTATTTTCCAGGCTCCTCCATTTTCAGATGGCATAGACAGCACACAAAAACTGTAAAAACAATCAGGGGCAAAAAGAGAAGCAGAAGTCATCTTTTAAGAGCCCTCAGAGCCACAGCAGCACAGCCTAAGAGCAGTTCTCCCCTGCTTCAGGGCTTAGGTGCACTGCAAGTCTAATTTTCATTACTGGATTTTACTTTTCATCCTTTTAAATGCCAGTAAAGAAAATAAGCCTGATGGGTTTTTTAAAAAGAATAATTAGCATCTCTTAGGATAGGTGGAAGAACACTAAAGATATAAAAATCTCCTTCCTCAGTGAAAATGAAGTCATACAATGGGGCACAGAGGAAAGAAGCTTGCTTTTCTATCTCCACAGACACAAAAAACCCAGGAGATATCAAAGAAATTGGTCCACTGGCTCAAAGACAGGGCAGCTTGGCCAGATTCACATGGCTGGTTCAGTGCCATGGTCTGACAGCCAAGAGCAGCTTCAGAGCCTCATGCAAACGCTCTTGAAGCCAACACGGAAGCACAAGAACTTGCAGCAAGGTGATCATCACTGCTGCCTGCCAGGCAGGAAGGGTTACAGGGGGAAAGAAAAAGGGTTTCTTCTTTGCTCTTCAGGAAAAAGGAGCCATGAACAGCTTCCCTGGAGGGGCCTGCAAGGCAGAGCCTCGTGGGTGTGGCAAAGGGAACTTAATGCTGTTCTCCAGGAAATTTTGAACTGGTCATGTGTTAAAACCCTAGATACTGAGAGGTTTGGGCTTTCTATACTAAAAAACACAGACTCTCAAGAGAACATTACATTTAACCTAAAGCCATAAAAAACCCCAACTTCCATACATTTATTTGAAACCCAACTTCCATACATCTATTTGAAACACAACTTCCCTACATTTATCACAGAAGACTTTAATCAAAAGCATGACAAAATCAGTAGAAAAAGCAGCAGCTGAGCACTGCAATGCTCCCTGCTGCCTCTCCCTCACCAGGGCTGAGGAATGCAGTGGCACATTGAAATTCAGGCAGCACTGCCTGCTCTGCAAGTGCTGCCAGGGGGACAGGACCCTATCACCTGCCAAAGGGAAATGCTGCTGCAAGAGTGTGTGCTGATGCTGAGATAAGGGATCAGGAGAGCAAACAAACCCTGCCCTTCCCTTCAGTGTTAGCATTCCAAGGCACTGAGACTGGAGTGGGAGGCTTGTGGATTTTAAGGCACAAGTGTAGCCACTCTCCTCACTTGTGTGACCCACACCATCTCTAGAACAACAGTAATTCATGGGCAGGAACAGTTTTGTAACAGTATCTTCTTATTTTTCAAAATAGAAATGGTGGTGCTAAGATGTGACAAAGTCTCCTGAATGCCAAAATGGAAGAATTCTTAGCAAGTGAGCCAAACAATTTACCTAAGGGTGGCAGCAGCTCACCTGGGGACAGCAGCAGACTCAGGGCTGCTTGGAGGAAGGAGGCCTGTCAGCAGAGATTAAAGGCAGGTGACAACAAACAGCTTCCAGCCCTTCCCCTCCAGCTTTGAAAAACACAAGAGTTGTTTTTTTTCAAAAACTAGCTAATCATGGATGGTAATTTTTTTGAGCAGTCCATGGAAACCTGTACCAAACATCTCATCCTAATAATCCATAAAGTCAGGACCAAGCACACTCTGCTGATTCCCAAAAGTAATGAACAAATCATGTGTCACCATGACAAAACAAACCACTCAAGGACCCAGACAGAAAGGAACTGAAGTCTGACACTCCAGTTTTTCTCCAAAACAGCACTTGAGTGCATATAGAAATACACTGACCCCACAGGTACCTCTTTGGGGTTGCTGGGCATTACTGCCCATATATATTCTTATCCTGCTACAATGCTGGCCAAACAAAGGAAGATCTTTCTAGACCAAGCATCTCCACCTTTGCCTCACCACCTCAACTGCTCCTGAGATCCC